TCGTTTTGGTCCTCCGGCATCGGCCAGGGCCAGCTGGAGCCGGGCGCGGGGGCGCCTTGCTCCGTAGATTCGCACTCCGCGTCTGATGCGTGCTGGGGTCACGCCGATGGGTGATACTTCTGGGTGGGCCACGGAAGTGCGAACACAGACGTACGCGTTCCCTCCGCCTCCGCTCCGAGGAGGAGGATGAGGGTCTGAATGGGGACTGGAGGCAGGAGTAGCAGGAGGATGAGCATGAGGCACGTTTGTTTCGTGTGTGTGCGTGTTTTGTGTGTGTGTGTGTGCTGGTGTTCGGAGTCATGGGGGATACTTAGCGAGTGTGCCCTGATACGATTGCTGACCATGTGCTACAGAGCATTCCACGTACACTAGTACCACATCACTTTCTTTTGAGAGTGCAACGTGACGGCTCACAGCCTGGAGACCACGAGGTTGGACCATTGGCCTCACGCTTTGATTTTACCCGCAGGCGCATGACTCTGGTAGGTCGGAGGGCAACCTTTCATCCCGAGCCGACCCCGGGGCCCTGTAAGGGCCGCCCCGAGGCCGAAGACAGCCAGAAATGCTCCGACGAGATGTTTGCGCGATCGTCCTTTCCCTCTCGCCGCTAGTTCTTCTTCCAAACGTTGCGCTGGGAAGGAAAGTCTGTCGAGATGCGTTACGGCGCGAGGATGTCAGGGCCTCCGCACCACCCCGGCTCAGCCTCGCAGGCCCCTGCGCTTCCTCGCCCCCTTGCGCCTGGCCTCGCCCTTCAGCTCGCCCGCTCGAGGCGGGCGGTGGCGAGGCCGCGGTGCCGGCCAGGGTGGGCGAGGCGGCCGGGGGTTGCAAGCGCGGGAGCGATTTCTATCCATGTCCCTTGCGTCGTGGACTTTCTGGAAAGTGGTGCCAACATTTCCGAGGCGCAGTGGATATGGATGAGCATCCAACATCCAGGGTCCAGATTATTATCCAGAATCCATCTCCACTGCGCCTTGCGTGTCTGGGGAAGCGGGCCCGAAACTCCGAGATGCAGGTGTACATGTTGATCTCTCATCAAGCCTTCTTCTGCGCAGCTTCTCAGTTTGGTACGATCGAAACAGGGATTAGCAGAAGTCACAACATCTCTCTGAAGTTGGCGATCTCCGCGTGCAGCACCGAACGTATGTTCATGCCATGTGTCCCCCCTCAGGTACGAAAATAATGGGGGCCAATAGCGACCACAGCCCCACTCCATCTCGGACAGGCTTCGTTGTCGATGTGCTTGCGCACGTTGTCCAGTCTTGACGCAAACGGTCTCATGCCCAACAACATTTAGCAGTTGGGCTTTGGAAAACGTTTGCTGTTGTCCATCGTGCCACCCATTCTTTCCGCACCCGTTCATTCCTGACCTTCGGGATCAGAAGGACTCAGGATAAAAAGGCCGGTTCCGACCTCTGTGGATCCATGTTTTCTTGGCATCGTTCGGACGTTTGCATGCTTTTCTCGGCGAGGACCATCGAGGAGCATCCTGGATACTCGAGCAACACAAACGCGCACGAACACGAATATATGGAAAAGAGGAGCCAACCTCGATGGGTCCGTGGGCGCGCGCGCGCGCGTGGCCCAACCCCTCGCCCTGGCCAGCTGCGCCGTCCCTGCTCCTCCTGCGCCTCCTCCTGCATAGCCTCGTGCCGATCCCCCGTGCACGTCCTCGGCTCCTCCGCCCGCCTGGCCCTCCGCGCGGAGCACCGCCGCCGCGCCGCGCGGGGCACGGTGGCGCCTGCGCTGCCGCACGGCTCTGGGCCTCCCAGACGGGGTCCCACTTGGTGGGGCTGGAAAATCACGCCGCATCGCCGGTGCACTGACGATGCGGCCCGATGTGGAGCCCGTGTTTCTCCACGACGACGTCGCGACGTCGCCGATGCATCGCCGATACGCCGCCGATGCAGCGCCGATGCATCAGCGCTGCATCGGCGATGCGGCGCGATCCTTCGACCCCGTCTACTCGGACCCCATCGAGTTGGCCTCTGATTGAGGGGGCTGCATTGGAGGAGGAACATGTATCCATACCGCTACCCTTCCCTCGTTTTCCCCTTTGGGGGCCTCTTGGGGGGCCCTGGTCGCCACCACTGGATGCGGCTCAAAGTTCTAGTCAAAACCTACCCGGGAGAGGTCTGGGGAGCAGTGGTATTGGTACCTGTTCGTTTCCCTTCTGCAGGTGTGCATGAATTCATGTTGCTATCGATTGACCATTCGCTGTTGGGTCCGTGAGCAGCCGCCGATCCTCGAGTCTGGAAGTCTTCCTGGCACGTCCTGGAGCTGGACAGGAGCACGCTGCGCACTGACAGCTCGGGCGTTCTCCTCGCCGACGCCCCTCGCTCCCTCCTTCTGCCACTGGCCTGGCCTCCCTCTAAGCTGCCGGAGCGGCCAGGCGCCGTCGTGCGCAGCGCACGCCCAGCCTGATGCCCGGCGAGGTGCGTCTGCCCGGCCCCCGCGAGGCAGCCGACCGCAGCCTTGTCGGGACCCTCCTGCGCCCGCGGTCCCGCGCGCCAGCCGCGCTCGGACCTCCGCTCCTCGGCCACGTCGTCGGGTCGGCCTCGGGGACGCCCCTCTCGGCAGGCGCAGAGGGCGCCCGGCTTCCTGAGAAGATGCCCCGGAGCAGGGGGCTCGCGAGAAGCCCCGGCCGCCGTCTGGGAAGGCCCGCCCCCCTCTGACTTCCTTCCTCTGCGCGCTGCCGATGTGTGCAGCACTCCTCCTTTCCTTCCGCAAAACAGCCTCCATAATTAAGGGAGTGAGCGGATTTGCTGGAGGGCCCCCTCGGGGGAGAACCCACCGGCCTCGACATGAACATGTCGGTTCTGGTTGTGGTCGATCTGGTCGTCCTGGACGCTCACTTCGACCTCAACCAGTACTAAGCCAGTTTCGCTGTTCGAGGGATGCTGGCTTGCGCAAGACATGGGGAATTCGAAAGGTACCTACGGATCTGTCCCAGGGGGCACTCTGACTAGAATTTGGAGGCGCCTCCCAGGAGGCCCAAAATGGCGACGACGGGGCGAGGGTAGTTCTCACTCCTTGAAGACATCTCCGAGGGCGAATCCTCGATGTGGTTGTGGGCGCTCGCTGCCCCCGCGTTCCACCCCCGTGTGTTTCCCGTTGTCGCTCCCCGCCGCCGGTCTGTTGAGCCTCCACTGCCAGGTGCCCGGTGGCGGCGCGGTTGCCAGGGGCGCCCCGGAGGGCCTGATTCTCGAGGCGCGCAGGAGGAGGACGAGGGGGGGGGCTCCTCATCGGATCGCCGTGGGGGGAACGGGTCCTGAGGGAAACGGGCCCTGAGGTTTTTCGCTGTGTTCGCGCTCTCGAGGCCCTCCACGGCCCTGGGACTGTCAGCAAACGATTCAGGATGAACAAGTGGTCCTGGGGGAATGTTCCAGGGCCCAGGACCTGGTTCCCTCAGGACCCGTTTCCTCCATGCTAAATCGGACCACCGCCACCAGCGCCACCGCCACCAGGGTGGCCAACTCAAGCGAGGGGGGCCATTGCCTCCTTGAGCTGGGGATAGGGAATCTCCCAAGCGGGGGGGGGGGGACCCACCACCAGCAGGATCCTCTCGGGAGTGGCCCGTGCTGGTGGTGGTGGTGGCGGTGTCGGCTGTCCTTGTTCCTATTATATTGTGTGCCTGCTCCAGCTGCCCTCCGGTATTCTTGCGCGGCTGCCTGCTGCTGCATGCTGCATGTCGCAAACGTGTTCTGCCTTCGCTGCGCACGCTCTCTGCTCGCGCGCGCGGCCCGCGAGGGGCGCCGCTTGGCCCGCGCGGGCCTTCCGAGGGCCTTCTGGGCGGCATCCTGCCGCCCTTCCATGAGCCCTCCGCGGCCTAGCCCGCGGCCTTCGGCGGCCAGGTGGTTCAGCTCCGCAGCCAGGCGCAGTCCCAAGACGGGGCCCACCCAACACCAAGGCCCGCCCACAAGAGCACCCAGCGCGCTGGCTGCGGCGCAGGAGTGAGCTGACCGACCAGCCTCGCGAAGCGCCGCCCAAAAGAATGGCTCGACATGCTGCCCGAAATGCACTGCACACGCGAATCATACGAGAAACACAATCGCAACCCCTGCGAGAGATCCCCTTGTGATCCCTGCGAGAAGAGAGGAGAGCGCATCGCGCGCCCAAGAACTGGCTGTTGGCAACATCTGCTCTTCGTATGAGGCAGCGTTTTGTTCGTGACGCTGGACAGGTCCTGTTTCGTTCTGGGCATCCTTTCGGCTCTGGAGTCGTGAGGCTGGTCGATCTGTGCGAGGGGAATGAGAATTAGCGGCCAACTGGCGGCCTTCGTAGCCTTTTCTCCCCGACCATCCTGTGATGGTGGTCCGTCTTTTGAATGCCCATCGCCCCGTGCCTGCCTCCCTCCTCCCTCTGCATGCACATTTCGGGACACGCCTCACGTTTCTCGAGGAAGAAGAAACTGTATCAACATAAGCTTTTGGACCTCCATAGTATTTTGGGATCTGCGCTGGACACCCCTACCTGGCGCGCGGAGCGCGCCAGGGGCGGCTGCGGAGGCGCCGCCAGGGGTCTCAGCGCAAATCCAAAAATCCGCGCGGAGCTCCCACAGTTTATGTCTACGCCGCTTTCTTCTACGCCGTGTTGTTTCTGCCGTTAGCCCTCTTGAGCAGGCGCAGTGATTGTGAAAGCTTGAATCCAAACTTCTCCAGCCCACGCTCCAGACGGCGTATGGCTTGGTGCTCGTGCTCCGCCTCTAGCTCTGTGGCCCCATGGGGAGCCCCACCGCCGGATTGCCTGCGGAGGCCTCACGGTTGGTGCCGCCGACCTTGCAGGGGGACGACGACGGCGACGACGATGACGTTGGCGGCGGCCATCCTTGCCTCCGCCCTCCGCATGCACGCATCGGCACACGCCGCACACGCTTCGTGGTCCCACAGGTAGCCCCACCGCCTGTCAACTTACCGCAGCCGAAGTGGTCCGTTCAGCCCGCGCAGGTAAGTACCCGCAGAGCAGAGCAGCTGCACCAACACGCTCGGCCAACCAGATCGCCCATGGAGCCGAGGCCCACTCCGTCCACGGTGGCTTTCCACGGCCAGGCTGGCGTTCGCACCGGCGACCCTTCGGAGCCCAGCTGCTGGGTCGACAAGAAGCGACGGAACAGGGAGCCGGCAGGGGTCGTTTGGAGGCCTTTTTGGGGTGTCCCCTTTTTTGGGGTGTCACCTTGGATGATTTGCAAATGCGTCCACGCAGGCGAGGGGCCCGCTCCGACAACTCCCGTGGCCTGCAGCGACCAGGCTTGCGTCCCGCCAGAGGCTCGGCATCGCTCGGACGCTCGCATTCCTTTCTCGGCAGGGACCTCAGACCGTAGAGGAGCATGCTGGATCATCTGAGCGACGCCAAAAAACGATGGGCAACCTTCCTGAGGGTATCCTCGCATCCTTGCCTCCTCGGTCCATCCTTAATCACTCTCGATGGCCAGCCCCGCTCGAAAAGCTTCGACATGTGTGTCCAAGGGGCTTGCACCCTCATCGTGCATCTTTGCTATCAGTTTTGATTGTACCGATGCCGCTGCTCGTCCTGGAGATTGCTCGTCGCCACGGCTGGACTCTCCTCTAGATCCTCGTCAGAACGCGTCCCGGGAGGTCTGGGGAAGAGCAGCATCGGTGACCGTTCGTTTCCCTGCTTTGGGACGATTTCGTATGTCTTTGCTAGCAGGGCTGGACCTAAACGGTGTTTTGGCCCTGTCTAGTTTAGGTTCAGTCCTGTCTGCTGGTGTTCGTTATTCAATCGCTTCGCTCATTCCGCCGGCCCATATTGTAGCATCGCTGGCACTTGCTTGCGTGCTTGGGGGGGCATTTGGGGGGCCTCCTGGGGCCGCCGCTTGGGGGCCTCTTGGGGGCCTCCTGAGGGCCTCGTGGTGCTCTTGTGCTCTTATGGGCCTCTTGGGAGCTTTTTGGAGGCCTCCTGGAGCTCCTTGGCGGCGTCTTGGGGGCCCCTGGAGCCTCTTGGGAAGCTCGCGGGGGTGGTCGATTGTGGCTCCCCCCTCGGAAGCCACGATCCTCGTGAGGGGTGCCGAGAAATTGCCCTCCCCTGCAGGAGCTTTCTGGGGGACCTGGCCGGGGATCGCCCGGGGATCCGCTGGGGATCGGCCCGGGTACTTTTCGTCCGGGGACCCCCAGGGGTCGCCGCGCGCGCGCGAAGTAGAATATTGTTAAGCAGTTACCCGAGATCTTAGCAAGCCTCTGCCCCGTTGGGCCGGCGAATTTGAGCCCCCGGGGGGTGGTCTCCCTCGGCTGCGCCCCGCCCAGGGCGTTCCAAGGGGGGCCCATGTGGTCGTCCCGACCGGCCGGCCGCCGGAGAGCCGAGCCGAGACAATCGGGCCGAACGAAAGGGGGGGATAGGGAAAGGTCGGGGGTGGACAGACCTCCTACCCTGACACGTCGATTAAGGAATTGGCCGTTTTCGGTTCGCGAGAGGGCGTCGCGGCCGTCATTTTTGCGGGTCCAGGTCCGTCGGTTTCGGTCCCAGGCTGTTTTCACTAAGGGGAGGTCTACTAAAGGGAGGTTTGTCCACCGCCGAAAAGGGGGGGTTACGAAATGTGCTGCATGCAGCTGGCTTCGGCCCCACCGAGGGGCCCATTCCTCGATACATAGCCGCCTCCGGCGCGAGGAGGCGCCTGGAAAAGCAGCTACGTGAGCTGATTCTCAAACCCCCCCTTTGGTATCCCCCCCTTTCGCCCGGCCCCAAACAACTGGACGGCGAGCGGGCCCGAGCAGCAGAAGGGGGCTGGAGGACTGGGCCGCATCGCCGATCCATCGGCGATGCGGTTCGATGCCAGAACGACACGCGCACCAAGATTTCTTCCCCTTCGCAATCACTCCACCAACAGTTGTCATGATCGCGAAGCGTTCTGGATGTTCCAATGCCGTGAACCCAGGCTGCCGTCACGGAAGCGCCCTGGAAGCTAGCGTACCCAAGGAGGAATGGCGAGGAGGACGAGGACCTCCTCCACCTCCTCCTCCTCGGAGGCTGATTTTCTCCATTCACGCCGACTTCGCAGATGCATCGCCGACGTCGGCGATGGCGTCGGCGATGCGTCGGCCATGGTGCGACCCTCCGACCCTCATCGACTCGGACCCCAGTTGAGGGGCATCAGAGGGCCAGAAGGCGCCCATAAAATCCACGAAGGGTCCAGGGCTCGGCAGGGATGAGAGACTGGGATGGGCAGAGAGAAAAGGCGTTTCGGCCGCTCGGGACACGGAAACTTTGGCAGGTCAGGACAACATGGTCTTACCACAGGACGTGACCAGTGGAACATTGGAGCGATGAGGATACCGAACCCAGTGCAACCCAGAATGCGAGTTTTTGCAACGCACGGCAGAAGCAATGCCAGCAGAGCAGCGCTGGAACAGGAGCAAACAATCCGCCCGCCGTTTTGTTGCGTCGACGCACATTCCTGACCTGACATGACCAGCACAACCTTGCGCACTGACGGACGCATTGCCCGCTTCTTCCATGAGGGTTCTCCCTTGACCTTTTGGGCCACTCAGC